TATGTTATGGAGAAACATAAACTAAACAACCTTTGCCTGGGCACTACATCCAAATTCTTTACCAAATTTGAATTAAAAATCAAATACAGAAAATAAACACTATGATAAAAATAAGAAAAAATAAAAAGAGAATTCAAATGAGTGAGTGTGCCAGCACCTTTTCGACACCACCATCTTTGCCGATTTTTAATTATTTTTTGCCATTGAAAAATGCCCTGAAAATTTACAGATATGTAGCTTACATAATCAATAACTCATTAAAAAAAATTCAAAAAATAATAAAATTGTTTAGGCCCCGAAAAAAAGTGAAAACAAAAAGTTAAAATTAAAAGTGAATTTTAATGTTTTTTTGGAAAATTTATAGGCGTGTAGGTTACATCATAGAGAACTCACAAAAAAAAAATTCAGAAAAAAAAACGTATTTTTAGGCCCCGAAAGTTTTTTTGGCGGGGGCCAAACCTGGAGGTGTTCGGCCCCCGAACGCCCGAACGTTCGGGGGCCAGCCCGGGGGGCCCCGAACGTTCGGTCAGGTAACCCTGTATATATATATATTTGACAAGATATTATTATTTTTTGGCCCGGCCAGGCAAGTGGTCCCAGGCCACTCTGTTAACCTAACGGGACCACTTTGCTGTTTCAAATTGAGCACTACTCGAAATGAAAACGATGATTATCGATCTGCTCCATCTTTGAAAACTTACATGTTCTTTTGTTTTCGTTTCGTTTTCATTTTGTTTGTCATTTAAACTCATTATGTTTCCTTTTTATTGTTTTGTTTGTCTTGTGGTTCACTGCAGCTACTGTTCTTCTATTCATTATCTCTTCTGGTGTTCTTTGGGAATTTCTACATGAAAAAGCACATAGCTCCTTCAAAAAAATTGGCCGCAATGGCTTCGCTGCCCCCTCGTAAAGCTGTGGGGAAAGAGGAGTAGCATCAGACTAGGGACTCTCCTCAGGCTGTAAGAGTAGAGCATTCGTCCAGGGCATGTGGACTTGTATTTCTGTTCTGCGAATCATTCCCACATAAATGTTCTAAAACTTTTAATTTTTAGAAAGGAAAAATCTTAAAATAAGCATTTTTTTTGAAAAAATGAGAAAGCTTTTTTTCCCCGTCCTCTTGGTAGATGTCCCAGAGGAACGAAAAGGGACATATTTCCCCAAAAAAAAGGAAAAAAAAAAAAAAGGGACATCTCCTTCGCAACTGCGTGTTTGAAAAGAGAGGAGGAGGAGGAGGACAACATTTCCATAACAACTCCTATTTTAAAAAGAAAGGAGGGGG